GGCAAAGAATGCTAAATAAAGCTTTTGAACTGGGAAGAAAACATTGCATAACAATATGGAACGGTAAATAGTACGTTACTTTCAGATGTTGATCGTGTTCTTTTCATTAGTGAACACATTTTTGAACTTATAAAATGCATTCGTCATGAAAAAATAACTTTCCATACTCTGATGAATAGGCTTCTCTCCGTTTTTTTTCGATGTAAATTTTTCACTGGGTATGCTTTAGGTAAGAGTCCTCTCTTCACTCACCTAAATCCTTCGTAGAAAGATACTTTATCAACTTGAAGCCTGGTAGAAATCTGAAAGATGATGAAGTCTGTCAGATTGTTATTTATGTAGGATATGTGAAAAAACCCTCATTAAATAAATGTAAGAAAAGATGCAAAGTATGATATATAAAACAGCATACAGAAGATTATCATAAAATACGATTTCAGGATAATGTCTCAATTTGACACTTGAAGTATATGTTTATTATTCAATAATGCTTGTACTCATTAACTCCATCAATACGTACAGATTCGTTGATATCTCAAACCTGCTCTTTGACATTTCTTGCAGTTTGTTGAATCAATACGTTGATTCCCTAAGCACAAGTATTTCACTGTCATATTCTTGCTTCACGATTCACAAAATGCAAAACACCATTATGCTCGATTTTTAGGGATCGAAAATTTTTGTTCACTTATAGTGCACCTGTTATGGCTACTTTATCTGTTAGGTTATTACTCGAATAGATTAGTGTCTTTAGAAAAGTATTCAATTCCAACATTTCAGGCAGTTCGCTAATAAATTAATCACTAATAATTTCTACTATCTTGCATAGACGAAGTCTTTCCAACGTTTTACTATACTTGTGATCTCGAATTAGAGCACCTTGATTAGAATCAATGGTTTGAAAATTCCCTAACTGGAGACTTTCAAGAGTTTGACGATTTTCAATTGAACAACAACACCAATTAGAACATATTTTTCTCGAATCATGTAATGATAATGAAAATCAATTATCAATAAAATCATGCGGTCCAAATCCTGATGAAGGTTTTTCAGAATGTGAAACTCAAGATGAAATAAAAGTTTCATTTATTAAAAATGATCGTAAGTTAAGCAATTTTTTTTGCTTAGTCACAATGACTCAACAAAAAATTTGTAATATCGTTATACTAAATATCACTTTTTCTATTTGTTTTTTTTAGTTAAACTTGCTCGAAGCATAGCAGATAGTACAAAACAATCTTTTTGTCCTGATACTCGTGTAGCTTTTCATGGGGAATTCGCTAGACGTATTTCAATTCCATTATCATTATGTCACAGAGTTCGTTATTTTCTTTTTGCTCAAGAAGAACTTGTTAATAGTTCTTATATAAATTTAATATTTGACTGTGTCAAACTTGACAATGCTAAAGCACAATTTCAATGTCCAAATATTCGTTGCAGACATGCATGGACATCAATGCGAAGTCGAATTTCATTTTCAGTTAGTTCACCGAAAATTGGTTTTATTGCACTTGAAATTTTTGGTCAAAATTGTCAACATTGTAATGCACATACTCAAGCTCTTTGGTATATTGGTAATTATTTTATTCTTATTAAATTATGTTGTAAATTTTCACATTTGCATATGTTTAGATGAAGTTTGTCGGGTTATGAAAAATTTAGCTTTATTTATTTTTGAACGATATTTTCCAGATATGGTTAATACTATCGAATTAGAAAATAATATTACACCATCTCGTGCATCGCGTCATGATCCGACTCAAAGAAAAGGAAGAATGTTGGCACCACATATTAAAAAACACTGTGAAGCATGTCGACGTGGTTTATGCTTCGTTTAAAAAAATGAACATACTATTTTTTGCTCTATAGGCAAATTTTTTGAGTTTTTTATGATTTAGTTCTTTTCGTGTGACAAACTTGTGCAAGTCTAATATTAAAAAAACATTATATTTTCTTATTTGCCTGTGTATACACAGTAAATACAAAAGTTTGTTTTCAACAAAAATACAAGTAAAATAGAAACATATACTTAATGTTAAAACTCTTGTTTTTTTTGTATCTACGCAAACAAACAAAAGTGGATGTGGGTGATGTTGTCTTTTCCTCGTGTACACTCTCGTCCACATCCATCCTATTTCTAAATCAGAGACCGAAACGAATGACAAAAATACCATTCGGTCCGATTCGATTCTGCTTTCCCGGTCGCTTAAAATTTTAATTCGATTCAACGCGGCTGGAAAAATGAAAAAATCAATTCGACTCGATTCGATTCGATTTTATTCTTTCAGCCAAATCGAATCGAATTAAAATTTTGAGTGACCGGGAAAGCCAAGCCGAATTCGAATCCCGGTCTTAAAAACCGGAACCTAATGTTATGAAAACTTTGAGACACCATAAGAGCAGAATCGAATCGGAATCCAGACCCGGAAAAGGCGAATCGGACCGAATGGTATTTTTATCATTCGTTTCGGTCTGTTCTAAATTATCTAACTTATTTGTGATCTTATTATTAAATCACTAAATAAGTATGCACATAAAAAACCATCTGAAGAATTTTTTAATGAAGGATGAAAATGGTTATAGTATATACTTTGACACACGTACTTTATCAATAATTCCTATAGTACACTTGGAGAATTAAGATAGCTTTGAAACAAAAGAACGGAGAACTCTCTTGTTGTCTGTTTGCGAAAGTTAATATAGTTCCGCATCGTTTATACCTGCTACATTATCGTATCCAGCTGCAACTAACACTTTTCCGTTCGTCAATAGTGATGATGTGTGACCCCATCGTCTCACATACAAACTGCCAGTGGTTGTCCAACTTCCCATTGATGGATCATAGACTTCTGCATTAGTGATAGCACTACTACCGTTATATCCGCCGGAAACTAGCACTTTCCCATTTGCTAGTATCGATGCTGTGTGACCCAATCGTCCAACATTCAAACTGTTAGTAAATGTCCAGGTTCCTGATGATGGATCATACAACTCTGCACTGTTCAAAGCGCCGCTAAAGTCAAATCCTCCAGCAATTAATACTTTTCCATTCGCCAATAACGTTGATGTGTGTGACGCTCGTCCGACATTGATCCTACCTGTTAATGTCCAGACTTGTGTTGATAAGTCATAAAACTCAGCATCAGATACAAATAATCCCGACTGGTCGCGCCCACCTGTCACTAATACACTTCCATTTGTTAAGGTTGATGCTGCATGTACAAACCTTTCATGATTCAGAGAACCAGTGGTTATCCATCCTGAAAGAAGATAACACTATCACATGTATCATCATCATTTGAATACGAACAAATGAGGCCTGTAGGCAGGGATTCCGATTAGGGGGGNGTTGCTCGCAAATACTAATAGATTTTCAAAAAAATGTTCCTGGCTTTGAACGAATATCTACACGAAAAAGTCTTCAGACATGTTTACAAGAGAATTCTTAAGTCACGCAGCTAATACTGAACTAAAAGCATCAGTAGTATGCTCTACTAAAATAAGTTACTTTCATTTTTTTTAAACTGTAAACTGCCATGTACCATGTAAGTCTGTCATAGTCACTTCATAAAGCCGTCTACAAAAGATAAAGTTTTGGGGACTAATCTTCTTTCAAAAGTAGGCGAAAATATATTATATTTATTTTAAAAAGGAACTTGATAAGCGAAGAGAATATTGTTTGCAGTGAGATCAAAGTCATTTATCTGATGCTAAAGGTTTTCGGTTTCATAACAGTAAGCTTTTCGGCTTTTTTCACAAGTGTCCACATTTTCTTCTACTTTTGAAAGAAGATTAGTCCCCAAAACTTTATCTTTTGTAGACGGCTTTATGAAGTGACTATGACAGACTTACATGGTACATGGCAGTTTACAGTTTAAAAAAAATGAAAGTAACTTATTTTAGTAGAGCATACTACTGATGCTTTTAGTTCAGTATTAGCTGCGTGACTTAAGAATTCTCTTGTAAACATGTCTGAAGACTTTTTCGTGTAGATATTCGTTCAAAGCCAGGAACATTTTTTTGAAAATCTATTAGTATTTGCGAGCAACTTAACACAGGATAAATATGGTACAGAGTTCGTAAACCTATCTTATAGTTGGAGAACCTGGATCTCGTGTTATTTTGTGGTTATTGTTATCTCTTATTAGTATAATTTCGAGAGCGTTTATTTGATTGTTATTTGTAAATTCTAATGTGAGGTTTAGATTATGTCAAATACTATTTAGATATTAATATATTTATTTTATTCTGTATTATTCATTGATGCAATAATTGGTACATCATCTGCGTATCTCCATAGTTTCTGAATGGAATGTTCACTATACTTAGATACTTATCTTATATAGTCACCTATATATGAGCCTGCAATAATAAATGATGAACAAGTTTTCATTGTAAGTCCATGTTTATGTTAATGGTGAATTTTCAAATTTTTTCGATTGATTATTTCATTAATCACAACATCAACATCTCTTGTTACTGATATGCTAGTATACATGTCTTGCATATCAAGATTGGCTAGGTTTTCATCGTTATTTATTGTTATTTGTGATATTTTATTAACAAATTGTGATGTATTATTAATAGAATTTTCAGTTATTTTTCTTAACTCTTGTATTAGTGTTAGAATGAGTTGGCATACTCTGAAAATACAATTTCTAGATACAAAACCCATTTTAAGTTTCGCAGCTCCAAATGTTTCTTTTAGTGTGACAGGGACATTATGGTATTTTTTATACATGTTATTAATCTCATCGGATAGTTTGCTTTATGATATTTTATTTGATTTGCATAATTTTTCTGTTATATCAGATATATTTTTCTTCTATATTTGAGATATTATCATTTTTATCAAAAATGACAACTTTTCCACATTTATCGGTTGGTACGATTATGATCTTTTAAATATCTTGCCATATATACTTTCCACTTATGTTAGGCTGTCATTTTTTGATCTTTTTATCCGTCTGAGTGTTATAAACAAGTAACGCGTCGGCTCCATGAGCCTCGCTTAACTCAATCCTGAAAGTGCACGATAGAGGCAATATGATCGTACTCTCAAAAACAAAATGATACCGCAGATGGTAGCTGTATAACTAGGATTTGAGGCTCGGATTAGAGTGGCCCGTACGCTTTCTAAAGATACACAAAGGTAGCGTTATTTTTGTGGGACTCACATATGTTTTCGACGAAAATAGTGAGTGTGCGTTTGATGTCGAGGTTTTCTGACTACCCGTCCACGCCCTACACTTTCCACGTTCAAATTGAATAAGAACCAGCTTAATGATTCGGATCTCACCCTTTGCAAAAAATAACTCCTGCATATGCTGGTGAAACCACGAATTAGGCAAACCAAACCAACTCCGCGTCATTCGCGTGCCGCACTATTTCCATTAGAAAGAATCCCTACTGTAGCCTTCTTACTTCAAGTTTTTCAAAAAAAATTAAGTGAATACAGTTTCAACAAAATCACATTCCCTTATGGAATTACATGTCATGTTAGTCGATCTATGTACTGCCATCAAGATCGCATAGCATACGGGGACGGTACCATTTTCGCTTCACCAAGATATCAAATAATTTTAGAACTCTTTACGAGGGATTCTTTAGAATATGTTCTTCAAAATGTTTGGGAGCGAAAACTATCTATATAATGCCACCACTTTTTAGAAAGAACTTCTGTCTGTCACAGATATAAATGAAATTTTAATGATCTGATCGCTCTACTGACTCGATTCATAATTAGTTCGAGGCTTCGTAAAAAAGTAGACCTACAGATCAGACGAGAATATACGAAAAGTATGTCGGAATAAATTTTTCTATTGGGACTGTCACGACTTGGGTCACCAGAAATGGCTATAGCCGCGATGTCACCCTTTTCTCAGGAAAAAAACGTATTACGATCAATTTTTATGCGTCGCTCATTTCCCACCCAATAAATTTTAAGTAGTGAAATTCGACATTGTTATTTTCGAGTAAAATTTAAGACAATGTGGCAATAACTCTTATGATCTGTTTGAAAAATAAATCACGAGAGCATTGTTTCGATGAAAACATTACGAAAAAATATATGGAGTAAAAAATAGCTCTGAACAAAACGATGCAGTCACACTAGGACCGCTCAGCGGAAGCAGTAGTGATAGAGATGTCTGATAGCATTCACCAACTAAAACAAATCATTTGCAGTTGAACCAATCTTAGGTATCTAACAAAAGATCTATAAGCTATTCCTTATAAAGGTGATATACGAATATTCTGACAAACAATTCCCATGTTCAATATAAGAAGCAAGGGTATAATTTCTCTGACCGAAAGATGGTTATCGTTTAATCGACTAATTTTGGAAGTCAACCTCATTTTGGCCTTCGGTCGAAAACAATATCGAATATTGAGTAAGATGAAGCTAAACATCATACTCGCCCTGCCCATGACTACTCCGAGATTGAAAAAACAATTCAATTTTGCGTGAGTACTAAAACCTTCTTAAGACACCCCTACTCAACTCCAGTCCACCTCATGGTTACCCTACTACGTGATCAAACGATCTTTTTCTTGCATTCTGTTTACCGCAGCCAGGCACTCGATAAAACAATCAAACATATTCCTCGCAACGATGTAAAAATGCTTTTCATTTGAAGGTAAAAAAACAGCTCCTCGTCAGTCGTCGGCGCCCCTTTGGGGCGCCA